ATCCACATCTACAGGCGAACCTCAGCTAGCTACTCTTCACCCAGCACACTATACGAACCCGCTCTGGCTGTCTATCCAGAGAAAGATCATTATAAGACACTTTCTATATCACAGTACCTACACATATATAAACTTTGTGATTACGAATCATTATACTCCTAAATATTAACGAAGAAGGGCTCTTGCTAACAAATCTAAGCCTATGCTATCATCTCAGACGAGAATTCACACTGATTGACACCATGAATCCATACAATACCTGATTATTCAGTCTATAGAGTAGCAGCAGCTACTGCACAGTCAATCACTCATTAAGCACCCATCAGCATCTTACACCCATACAACAGTGCCTACGCACACAGGAGTGTAAGCCAAAGAGAAACAACTACACGATAAACACTAGCCAAGGCACCATGTCAGTATAGCCTCATCCACACAGGCAGCACAGCTACCCATATAGTTTGTTAGTAACACTTACACAGCATAGATACCACATGTAGCAAGTACTAGCCTACACAGCAGTAGATACCACATATCAGTAATCTAGCTTAACAGCAGTAAATACCACATTACAGTAGCTAGCCGACACAGCAGTAGATACTACATGTATCAGTCGCTAGCCTACACAGCAGTAGATACCAACATGTACAGTACTAGCCCTCCGCAGACAGTAGCTGCCTACACAGCAGTAGATACCACATGTAGCAGTAGCTAGGCCTACCACAGCAAAATAACCACATGTAGCAGAGCTACCTAACCTACAGCAAGTAATACCACAGTAGCATAGCTACTCAACACAGCAGTAGATACATACATTAGCAGTAGCTACCTAACCACAGCATAGATAAACCACAATGTACGCAGTAGCTAGCCCACACAGTGCAGACATACACATTAGCAGTAGCTAGCCTTACACCAGCATATAATACCACATGTAGGTCAGTACCTAGCCATACCACAGAGTAGATACCACATGTAGCAGATGACTAGCCTACACACAACTAGATACCACATGTAGGCAGACTAGCCTACACAGCAGTAGATACTAATGTAGCAGTCTAGCCTACACAGCATAGATATCCACCACCACAATGTAGGCCATACTACCCTACACAGGCAGTAATACCACATTAGCAGTACTAGCCTACCCAACATAGAATACACACATTAACCATACTAGCCTACCCGCAGCAGTAAGATACCACATGATAGCAGAGCTAGCCTACGCAGCATAGATACCACATGTAGCATTAGCTATGCCTCCACACAAAGATACCACATGTAGCAGTACTAAGCCCTACACAGCACTAGAACCACATGTACATAAGCAGCCAGCAACAATCTAGTAATACCACATCTAGCACTAGCTAAGCCTACGCAGCAGTAGATACCACCATGTAGCATACTCACCGCCTACACAGTGCGTAGATACCACATGTAGGCATTAAGCAGCCTACATCAGCGGTATAACCCATCATGAGGCAGTTATCCTAGCCTAACACAGCGGTAGATACCACATGTAAGCTCAGCTAGCTAGCCTACAACAGTAATACCACATGTAGCATACTAGCCTACACAGCACAAGTAGATACCACAGTAAGCAGTACTCATGTACACAGCAATGTAGCAGTAGCGCAAGCACTGGGGGCAATGTAGCAGTACTCATGACACAGCATAACACTGTACCAGTACTTGATGTACACTCATGTAGCAGTAGCTTCATGCACTACAGCATGTAGCAATAGCTCATCACACACCTTATATTTAAAAATCCAACCTCGATAGCTTCGTAGCTACACACCATGTAGCAGTATTCATTAGACAGCATGTAACAAGGCTCATGTAACCAACCATGTAACAGTAGCTCATTACACACCCATGTAGGCATAGCTCATGCACAACAGCATTTTATCTAACCTCCACAGCTCAAGCTACACACCATGTAAATCAGTATTCATGTACCACAGCAGTAACAGTAAGCTCAATGTACACACATGTAGCAGAATACTCATGTACACATCAGTGTAACAGTAAGCTCATGTCACACCAACGTAACATAGCTCATGTACACACGCCTGACATTACTCATGGCACACAGCATTATTCTCAACCTTCCACCAGCTGTCTACCTACACACCATCGAGCAGTACTCATCCCCCACAGCATTATCTAAACCTTCCACAACTCTACCTAGCATGTAACAGTAGCTCATGTACACACCATGTAGCAGTAGCTCATGTACACATCATGTAACAGTAGCTCATGTACACACCATGTAGCAGTAGCTCATCCACACAGCAATAGTTAAACTTCACATAACAGGAGATAGCCTACACAAGTCGTTAAACCCCCTACAGCATTAGATGCCTCGCGTAGCAGTCAGTAATCCACAGAGCCTTAACTACCAGAAGTAGAAGCAGTAGCTAGCCAGTGCAGCACTAACTATCCAAAACAGCAATAGCTCATCCACACAGCAGTAGCTAACCCTCACAGGAATAGTTAGCCCCCCATATAACAGTAGCTAAACCACATAACAGTAGCTACTCCTCACAACACTGGCTAGCCCCTCCCCCCACATAACAGTAGCTACACCACCCCATATGTAACAGTAGCTACACCGCCCTCACATAACAG